CTATGATGTTACTATTTTTGCTATTGGTTATCAGTATTAACATAATCACATTTTACTGATGCATCACAAAAATTCTGATAGAATAATATAGATTGTTTACTGATGCATCACAATTGGAATCCTTGGATCCCTGATAATCCTTCTTTGTTTCGGTCCTAATGTCTAACAAGTGTTTAATAAAACTATCACACCCCAAAACCAAGAACGGCGGAAACGTTCTGGAGCGGAGGACGACATGTACAGTATCACAACACAATATAATAGTAAACAAGTAAACAACATCATCCATTGCATTAAATAGATAATTTTAATACAAGTGTGTTCTGTAGTATATAAGATACCAAAATATAAATCAAAATATAAGATGAGTCTTGAATGCGCTCCATCTTCCCAAAAGTTGTCATCGATACCTGTCTACTGATGACCTGAGAATACAAGTTATTTTGAAAGAGTTTATCAGCATTAAAGCTGGTGAGTTCATAAGTATTTAGTGTTTATGCTTGTATCAAAATGTTTGAATCGTTGTTTGAAGTGCGAGTTTGTAAACGTTTGTAGTAATAGTATGTGAATGTTTATAAGTGTTTGTAAAAGTTTGTAACTCCTAGAAAATCCTATATTTTCTACTAGTATAAAAAGTAGCCTTCTACCAAGGCACAACTGTTTTGTATGTTTATTTCTTGTAAAAGTGTGTAATGTTCCTAAGTGTAACTATCATTATCAAAATATAGTTTGTACATTAATGTTTAAGTGAAGTAATCATCAAATAAATGTAAAGGATAAATTAATGTAGTACTGTAGTGTTGTATTATAGGAACCACTGTTGTACTATCTACCTTAAACCGGATTTATATCAAGGTATTATGTGATTAATTGTACCATACTATCGACTGAAAAACACGACAATGTAAGTCGTCAAAAGGTATGACATTTGGAACCCGAAGACCTGCAGGTCCCGTTGTAGCTAGCAACAAGGTGTAGGATAGTCAATCCAGTATAGATCTATACGCAAACTCATGCTCTCCCTCAAGGAGATTTTGGTTACAACTCGGGCCATGACAATGAAGGCATGCTCCGATACAGTGGATCACATTTATGCTATCGTATACTTTTATGTTCTCATCATAGTATCGTTGTATATTTTCTCATCCTAGTATAGTTGTATATGTTCTCATAGTAATAAGTAATGACTCATGAATGAACTGACTCTTCTTTGCTTCATTGAACTAGAAGTAGTAAGTAGTATAACTCTAAACTATACCTATTATAGTTTATTAGTAAACTTGTTTGTATGACTGAATGTACTGAACTGAGATAAAAGTCTTTATATCTATACATATATACATAATATTTAACTAAGGATTCAGCGACACTCGGACAAACAACCGGGTACTTTAAGACCACAACCAAACAAGGACAGGAAGTAAAGTGGGTTATCTCTCCTAAGTCATTCAAACCTTATTTATATAACTATATATGTAGTAGATATGGCTTTAATAATATATAAATTTGGAAACTGTAAAAGAAAGGTTTAGTATACAAAAGTGAATTTGATAAAGAGTTTGATATGTAAAATAGTTTGAAGTCATTTGTTTGGTAAAACAGTTTATAGTATGAAAAATCCATTGGTATACTAGTTATTAATCACATGTGATTGATCTAATAACCAACATGGTTCAACTTGTATCCCCCCCCCCTAAAGCATTTAAAAACATTTCAAAGCATTTCAAAGTTTGATTAAGGGGTATGAACTCACTTGATTGAAGTGGTTGTTTTGAAGTAGTCGAGAGAAGAATCGAGCAGAACTTCGACTAGAGAGAGTTGAAATCTCGGGATTTTCGGGGATCTCGGGAGTGTAAGACTTCCTTCGGGACTCGAGTATGAAAAACCGGGGCTTCGGGAAGGCTTATCGAGGTAATCACGCAGAGTAACGGCACATAGATGGAAAGAGATGAGCACCAAACCCGGCACCCTTAAACTTCTATTTATAGGGGCTGATTTGGGGTCTCACGTCGCGAGTTTTGGATTGCTCACGTCGTGAGACTTAGTCAGCATGATCCTCTTCGACGAGTTAACGTGTCTGACACTTTGGAACCCATCAGCCACGAGCTCACATCGTGAGCATGGTTCCCTCACGTCGTGAGGCTGAGTCAGCCTCGGGTTTTGTGTCCCGAACTTGTAAAGTTCATAACTTTCGCGTACGAGCTCCGATTTCAATGTTCTTTATATGCACGCGTAGATGTGAAAGGACTCTACAACTCTCGTTTAGACTCCGTCGGCTAATTTTGACTTTATTTTTATTATATTATTTTTAACAGGTCGAGCCTAGAAAAGTCAGTTTAAATCCCATAACTCCTTCATCTGATGTCTATTTTTGTCAGACTTTTTACATTTATACTCCTATTGTCGGGGTATTCAAATTTCATTTAGGTTGCGTACGCTAAAGACCGCTCGATATCTATTTCAAGTTTTTAGATGTCTACTGCTAGGTCAGAAACTTCAAAAATTCATAACTTCCTCATACGAAGTCAGATTTGGGCGTTCTTTTTATGTATGTTCGCGGTTTAATGATATCTACGACTTTCATTTAGATACCTAAGGCTAAAAAGTATTTTATTGGAATTTCTCGTTTTATGCTTAACAGCGCTTTACCGATAACGTTATGAATCTTAGATTGGCCATAACTCCTTCATTATAGCTCGGATTTTAGTTATCTTTATATTTTTGGAAACCTTATCACGATATCTACCACATAGTGTACCCAAACAGAGCTTTTTGAACATTTCATTTTCGATGATATTCATATTACTTTACAAAGAGGTTACAAGACTCGACTTTTAGTCATTACATTGACCTGAAATAACGGGTTGTCACAAAAACTCCTAAGAGACAAAATGATCAAAGTTTTGTGTAACATGGTCTTGATTTCTTAACATAATGATGGTTTACTTCATATCAGATGATGGTGTTGTTTAATGTGGTATTGACAAGAGATTTATGTGGGATTATGAAGTTGTTAAATTAGATATTAGATTTTTGTATGAGATGTTTAATATAGGTGTTGTTTTTGAAATTTTGTTGGATTTGGTAATTAGTTATTTATTCAGGATGAAGTTGTTAAATTAAATTACTATGGAATTGTATTATGTTTGAAGTAATGGTTCAACTTGTAATACCTGTTGCATTGATGCATTTTTTGTATTTTTTTTTATAAATGATAGTTTAATTTATTCAAATTTCAAAAGCAACTAAAATGGGATATCCAAAATCCATCATTTTAGTCACTGAATTACACAAAGTAGCAATGGAATGTGCATTGAATCGTCATCTTCACTAGAAATAAATAAAGGGAGGAAATAAAATGGTAAATAGAAAAGATTTTCATGCAAATAAAAGTATCACACGTGATTTGATTTATATACGAACTTTGTTTCCTGGTGGGTCGCAACCAAATTTCAAACCATTTTACATATTAATTTGTAACTTAATATCATTATGATACAATTACAGAGCACAAGGGTAAAATAGTCTTATTTAATATTTAATACATTCAGTAAAATATATAATCAAACAACATGTTTCAGTTAGAGACACATTTAGTCAGAGGTGCAGACCCAGTCAGGATTTTGACTTAGTCAGAACTAATTCAGTCAGCAGCTATCAAACAGTCCTTAAATATACATTTGATTGTGGAAAACAATTTTCATTTTTCAAAAAAAAAAAATAAAAAAATGGAGTTGAGTTTTCACTTTTGTTTTCAATGAAAATTTTAGAAAACGTGTTTCGTTAAAAACGGTAAAGTTTTTATTTTCCATCTTACAAATTTAAAAAACTTTAAAAAACTGTAAAAATCACTTTTCAAAGTTACATACAATTTAGAAAACATAAAACTTTCATTTTCTTGGAAAATTTTGGAAAAATGAATCAACCAAACATATTTTAATTTTCATTTGAAAATTTTCACTAAAAAACTGAAAAATTTTCCGCAACCAAATGCATTTAAGTTTTTACAAATTAAGGTTTGTTTCACAAAATGTAATTTTAAAATTTTGTAGTTTTTACAAATTATCGTTTGTTTCACAAAAAGTAATTTTAAAATTTTTGTATATAACAAAGACATACTTTTTAATTAATTTTATCATGTTAAAAATTGAACGTATTCTCAAGAAAAAAGATTGACATTATAAGAAACTAGCCGTAGACCCGCGCAAAGCGGCGGCGAAAAATAGTTTCTCATTCGGCAATAAGTTCTATACATAAACATGTTAGATTTCAAGTAACACAAAACATATGCATCTTGTTATCGATCGGTTTTACAACAACAAATCAATGTAACCCTCGTAATACAAAAGAAAATAAATATTTTGGTGTGTAGTATACGTTTACAGTCCTTCATTTTAGAAATCAGGACACATCCATACGAAGTGACTTGCTTATACCTTTCTTTTCTCTAGCATCCATCACAAGAATTTTATTCATAATGTAATATTTTATACTTTTCTTTTTTATATCTAAGCCTATATTTTAATACATTATTCCATGCACGATATTGACTTTCATAAAATAATAATTTGAGAAATACAAATATGAAGAAAAAAAACAACAAAACTAACAAGTAATAACTAAATAAAGTAATGAATCAAATAATATGTATCTAACGAAATGTATTATTGGAAAAATAATAAAAAAAGATAATAAATAACAACACCTTTCAATAAAAGACAAACTTTAGATATGTCTTGCCTTGCTTGCATCATCACTCCAACATAATTCGGCCTGACATTAGAGGGGGCAGTGATCCAATAGTCTCCATGGAGTATGGAGTTGAGGCTGGCCAACTTAGCCTCCTCAATGTCGTTTTCCAGCCCATACCCATCAGCCTAAAATAGATAAATATCCTAAAAAACCTGAATCAACACTCCTTCCTTAAGCTCCCTTTTCGCCAACATAGCAAGATCCATACCCTTCCAATAGAAAGCAATGTTAGAAGTAGTACTATGAGTCTATGATAATATCAGTAGCATCTTCACTTCTAGCTGCAAAACAATATTATCTATTAAAAAAATTAATTAAAAAATTAAATAAATGATTCACAAGAACATATGTTTTACAAATATGGATAAACATTCCTTGAGCTCTCTAACAATGACATGAAACATAATTCATGCTTTTTAGTAATATAGCTCTAAAGTAAAAATTGGTTTCCGATTTCATTATTACAACAGCAAAGTGTTAAGTCAGCAAGTGTAAATCTAACATTTCCTTAGGTGGGATAAGTTTAGGTTGATGTTTTTAATATGATTATGAGTTATGGAAGCTTACATCCATTATAGTGATTAGAGAATCCGAAAGAAGAATAGGTCCCACTGATGCAACATCACTTATTAAAGCCAATCTGGAAGCCAAATCCCCCCAAGGTCTCAACCTGCAGATTTTATATTTTTAACATACTTATTACGACATAATTACTTTAAACTATTGATTTTCTTTTTCAAATTATTCGGATATAATTCAGTATGTGTGTTTATAAAACTCACCTGTGTAACAACAAAGTCCACAGAATCAGCAATAAATGGTTCATGTGGACCATTTGGGATTCCTGTTAGGACATACTGTTTCAACGGGAAAGAAGGGGTCTAACTAACAATGTTACATAAGGGTAAAATAGTCATTTACTCACAGTTCATTCAGTCCAAAAAAAAGACTTTTGTGTATAATTGTATATAGAAAGTGTCCTTTTTTATGATACGTACACACGGGCCCAAGGCATTGCAGCTAAGAAATATTTTGTATCCAAAAATGCATTTGAAAGGATCAAAGACTTTACTCTTCTTGGCCTATGTTGAGCAAAAAGTAGTGCTAAAATCCACCAGGTGATGTTCCATAAAGATGTCTGTTAAAAAAAAGATTCATTACATAAATAAATAACAATAACATCAAAAATGGAATCAGATAATCTTACATGGTGGACATCAATAACATCTAAAAACTTCTCAAATGCTTGAACCCATTCTTGATTGTTCCAAACACGAGGAATATCAACAGAAATTACTTGATAACCCTGAAAAAGAAACAAAACAAAAAAAAATCTGAAAACTTCGTTATGAAAAAGAATCCTTCAACTTGGTTTTTGTCTTTAACAATGTTAAAGTTGTTGTTACCTTCATGGAGAGTGCCATGATTTGTTTGTAGTAAACATCTGTTGTTCCAGCAGTTCCAGGATTCATAATATCTCTATTATTTTGTGCAAATCTGTACAATTTATGTCAAAATTAATGTCCATATATGTTATTCTTATATCAATTTGGATGTAAAATCTAATATCAACATTTTTTCTGTTTATAGAACTTACTATAAAGATTAATGCTTTATGCTTGTAAGTAATACACCAATCGGAAGCTACAAATTAGCCAATTTAATCTCAAAAGTTGAAGTATAGCTCCATTTTAATGTGAATTTCAATAATTTTAGGTTCATTGAGAGTAAACATTGAACGATTGATGCTGAATCGAAACTGTAAATACGGTTTACACATAATGAAAGTAACAATCGATACCAACTAAACCAGTGATTTATCGAATTGGGTAAGTCAATAGATGTATAATCAAGTGAAAGATCGACGAAATCTATGACCAGAAAAACTTACTGGGATCTTGCGGAGAGGGACTTGGAACTTGAAGTGGATGTAATCACCGGGCGTTGAAACCCCACCTTTCATTGCTAAATTTGACGATGATCGTGAAGAGGATGACTAAATTTGGTGGCCATTAATAGAGAGATTCATGTTATTAATTGTTGATCGTAGGTGGGTTGAGGTTGGGGTTAAATTTTATGAATAACAAACAATAGAGAGAATGGTGTGCCAATGGATAGATATTTGCCTAGATTTTAGGAATAAACATTGACTCAAACCGAGAATTAAAGAGATCAGGTCAAATTTTTGGAAGAGATAAGATTTCAAAGGTAATCATATTAAAATTTAATATTATTTTATTTATGATTAGTTGTACTTTACGCTTAGAGAGTTGAACGCCTTAAAAAAATATTATTATTTTATTAGATCTATTTATAAAAATAATAGGATTTCTTTTATAAGTTAGTAAAGATTATATTGTCATAACAAAAATACTTGATAAAATTCATAGAAAATGAAAGTAAATCTGTGGATGATACGATGGATATAAAAGTTTAATATTTAAGTAATTAAATAAGGAAACGGGGAGTAAAAACGGGATGCAAATCATGTAATTCCTATATCCACTCAAACTCTAGATCGGTATTCGTCTAATCCTCTAATTCTACTCTTTAACTCAATCTTCCCTTACTTGCAATCCAAGAAACCCCATCGCATCTATAAATAAGCAAATTCCAACCCACAATTTCACGTAGTTTTTTAGAGAGAGAGAAACCCAAAAAATGGCGTCGCTTGAGGATCCCTCCCAAACCACCAGGCGTCAGCCATGCGAAAAGGGGTGTGGGTTTTCCAATTCTCCGGCGGCTAAAAACCTGTTTTCCATGTGTTTCGACAATAATCTAATCAGTGAGAAAACCACATTACCAAGAATCATCACAAGTCTAAAATTATCAAATAATGTCTCAACTCCTGAAAGTGATCGTCTTAGTCTCAATGTGTCAAGTGATGGTGAAGAGGAAGATGAAGTTTCTGGTAACAAGTCGTGTGAGAGTTTTTGTGAGAATAAGGTCGGGGTTTTTGGGTCTAGATGTCGTTGCGGTGGACGATTCTGTTCGGTGCATTTGTTGCCGGAGGAGCATGCATGCAAATATGATCGGTACATGTACCGATCATATTAGAGAGGGATTAAATCTGTAGCAAATTTTAGGCTTATAGAGAGGGAATTACGAGAGATCTGTGATGATTTAAACAATTATTTTATTTATTCAACATTTAGCATATTAGAGAGTGTTTAGCGAGGGATCAACTACAGATCTCACAAGTATTTATCGACGGACTCTTATCCCTCAGTAATCGGTGGAAAACGAAGGAATTTGGCGAGGGTTCAACGAGGGAAAAAAAAGATCGACTTTTTGGCCATCTGGTACTTCTTTAGCGAGAGAATACCGACAGAGCATATGCACGCTATGTTTTTAACATTGACGATCTCTCGCTGAAATTGACGCTCCAATTCCAAACTTCGTGTAAGTTTTCTTCTGTCCCAAATCGGATTTGTCACTCCAATTGAACACGCTCTCACCCAAATCTGAAATTGACGACACTATCGAGTTGCAGCTTGCTTAACCTAATCTCACCCTTTCTGTTCAAACAAATGACGACAAGAACGGACCATTGCAGCTTCCGATTCCGACAGCCTCCACAATTTTAAAATCTGAAATTATTCTTCGTTAACTTCCGATTCAGGTAAATCTCTTGATTTTATTTGCTTTAGTCATATATTAGGTTAGGTTTGATTTAGTTGCACAATATATTATGTTAGGGTTTAATTTCTCCATTTTTTTTCCTTTTTCAATCGTCATTCCTCCACACAATACAATGCCCCTGATATGCAAAGTTGTTAAAGCTGGAAAATCCCAAGGTGTTTTGGGCGTAATATTGCAAGCTCCAATCACAATGCTAGTTAGTGTGAAATGTTTGAGTGAATTATAGGTAAATAGGAAAGGAGGCAGAAGAGGAACATGGACATTATGAGCATAGGCAGGGGCATTATTACTCTGATAGCCATTGGAGTCTTTCAACTTGTGTTCCTCTCTGAATATACAACTTATGTAACTCAAAGAAATTAATGCACTTTGGTATGATCATAAAAAACCTTCTGCTCTTACACTGAGAGATATACACAGACACATAAACACACACACACACATTAACTCAAAGATGACACACCAACACCACCTATTAACTCCCCTGGTAAAGGAGAAGCTCCAGGAGTTGAAGGTGAAGGAATAGTAAAAGGCGAGTTAGCAGGTTTAAACATATTCTGTCCCTCAATCTGTGGAGAAGTGTGTTGAGAAATTTGTGGGGACCCCACCTGGGATTAACTGAGGTGAAAACGAACTGCCACCTGGCTTCATTTGTTGGTGGTACCCCGCCCGCTGTCCTGCCACCTGTTGAAAAGTCCCCGGTTTCACACCGCCCATTTGTTGTTGCTGTTGTCTGAGTTTCATATCATGAAGCTGATTCATTTGGTTACTTGAGTCCCCTATTGTTTGAATTGTTGTTGTTGTTTCTGAAGAAATTGTTGCAGCATTTGGCGATTTTGAAATTGCTTCAGTTGTTGGCATTGAAGAAGCTGTTCTTGTTGTTTAATATGAAGCATGTTTGGGTTCGGCTGTAGGGAACCCATAGGATTCATGTTCACTTGTTGGGCCCCACTCCCACTCATACTTTGACCTGGGTCAAGACTAGAAGTGGGCTGCATTGAATTCATCATAGTTTGTTGAGAATTTGAACCCCGGTTAGAGAAGACATGGGATTTCCATTTTGCTGTGAGTTTCCCTAATAACAACCTGAATGCACCGTAATACTATAAATACCAATAGACTAGAATAACATTCCATATTGCTTCCACAACTCTTCCTCAGTTTCACATTCTGTTTTAAAGATTGTATTTACCTAGTCATGGTTCATTTCCATATATACCCTTGTGTTTTTCCAAGTTCTTTGAGTCAATCTTGAACACTTTTAATTCCATTTTCTATCTGATTTTAGTTAATTTTAGATCTAAAATCAATCTTTAACTACTATCATGAACACTTTTATGTTTTTCTGATATCCCAATTGTGTGTTTTTTTTTCTATTTAAATAATTAATTGTAACCTTTTTAATTGCATTGTATATTTGCAGAAGTATTAACTAGAAAACCACTTTTCCTTGGTAAAAGTGTTGTTCATCACTTGGAATTAATACCTGATCTTCTTGGGACACCTTCAATAGATACCATTTCTAGAGTATGATACTCTTCACCTTTTTATTTTTTTATTTTTTTTATTTTATATATGTTTGGTTTTTAATTTTATAATAACTTAGGTAGTGTTTGGTGTGGTGGAATTAGAAAAGGAATGGAAAGTTTCATTCCACTGGAATTAAGAAAAGTCGTTTGTTTTTCTTGATGGAATGGAATCTGATACCTTCCATTACTCAAGTTTATGAAATTAAGAAATGTGGTAAAACCCATTTTCTTTATAAATATTTTAACAATTAAGGAATTTCATGATTTTTAATTAGATTAAAATTTTATTTTCTAATTGAGGGGTTGTTTCTTTTTTGACTTAATGGGCTAAGCAATTAAACATGATAGTTGTATATGGGCTAAAATACCCTTTTAACCCTACAATTTCACACGAAAAGTTTCAATTTCAATTCAATCGGAACTCTTTAGACAGATATTATAAGATATTAAAAATTATGTATTTTAATTTTAAATGAACCCTTTTTTGATTAGTATTTGTTTAATGAGAAAGAAATACCCTTTTTTGATGAGTTTTTATTTATTTTTATTTTTAAAGGAACCCCCTTACGTCCTTTTTTGATTAGTATTATGTTTGAAAAATTATGTATTTTAATTTCCTTTTGTAAGATATTATAAGATATTAAAAAGTTTGTTTTATAAAAGCTTGATTATAACAATGTTTATTATTTGTTTATTATGTTTTTAATTTATTAAAATATTATAAAGTGTGCTTATAATCTCTATATTTTATTAAGTGACCCACGTTTGTTTGAAATAGAGATTATATACATAATAAGTATACTATGATTGGTATGTTGGCAATCCCTTATGGTGAATCCCCATTTGAAACATATCTCAACATCTGATTGAGTTGAATAATATATCCTTTATAAGGATTAAATATATAGCAAAAGCTTCAAAACTACTAACAAGTTTTTTTATCTACTACTTGTGACACAAACATTTAATACAATTACAATCTTATCAAGTCACAAAACCACCAAAACTTTCAAACAAATCTACTACTTGAAAAAGAAAAAGTAAAAAAAAAAAAAAAACATTTTTATGTCAAAATTAAAGAGAGAGAAAGTTATGATGAGTCAATCAGTTTGAGCAACATTTCCAAACCACTTTGGTGTAGGTAACATCCTCAACACTACTTGACTTATCAGCTTCAACTCTTTGGTGTAGGGGCAATTTGGTCCGTCATGTCAAACCACTTTGGCACAAATTCTTTCCCGTTTGTTTCTCTTATTCTTTTTTCAGCCCTCTGTTTCTCTTCCAGACTTTCCCAAAAGAAAAAAAAACATTAGTTTCATAGTACTTCTCAACGTTTTGGAGGGCATTTACGTCTTACATGCTTTCTTCCGAACCAGCTTTTGACATGTCACCCATCTCAAGGGCATATCTATTAGGTTGTAAGCGGGAATCCGATGCTAATAGCTTCTTTACTTTATGTGCAAAATATGTGTACTGAAATTTATCATCTGCTGGAGCCTCAGCAACTTTCCATACCTTCAATAACATTATTATTATTATTATTATTATTATTATTATTATTATTATTATTATTATTATTAATTATTGAATATCTACCAATAAAAATTAACAAATACTCATCAAAAAAGGGTATTTCAATTTCAATTCAATGGCATATGAATGGAACTCAATTCAATCGGAACTCACAAACTCCAACATTTCTTTCTCATCAAACAAATACTAAAATACCCCTTTAACCCTACAATTTCACAAGAAAGGTTTCAATTCCAATTCCAATTCCTTCAATACCAACTCTTGAGACAGATTCCATTCATTCCAAAAAAACATTAACTCTCTTACCAAACCAATGATGCAATCAACCTTCTTGTTCTTAACTCTCTTAGCCTTGTTCTTCCTTCTTTTCGGCTTCTCTTTCAGCACTGCAGAAGGATCATTAGATTCATGTGATAGAACAGCTTCAAAGTCTTCAAGTTTCAGCCCTTAACCTTGAGTGCAAATCACTTACACGTATCTTTCTGTATGGGTCAAAGTCATCTCCCTATTTACAAAACAGGCCCTAGACTATAGTTTTAGGCCATTTTACTTACTGTTATACTTATACTTCAGGTGTCATAGATATCAATTACAAGTTAGGTAACAAATCTTGGATGTAGAAACAACAATTTACTTTTATCTATTTTTTCATTGATTTGTATTAAAGTATTGTTACGTTGTAATAGAATTTAGTTTTAAGACATGTCATGGTAATCTAACTCTTGTCCTTAGATACTTTTTATGAAAACAACTATATTTTACATAACATAGGGAATCATGTAAATTATAAATCAACATTATTAATTTATAATAGTTGCAAATTGTTTAGCTTACTTGAAAATTTTCCAAATAGGGAAAATAAAGTATAGCTTTTTTTGTATTTTTATTTCCTCTTTCTGCCATGAATAAGTATCGTTTAATAAACACCTGATATGATGTGTAGGTGGTAGTTTTTGTCAAGAAACATGTGGGCACATATACTCATCTGCTTGCAGGAAATTCAATTTATGTCGATTTTCTTTTCTATACCATGTCTCTTTTCATGTTCATTTTGTTTGCCCCTGGTTTGCTTTTCTCTTTTCTGGGCATTTTACCCCTGGTTTGCCTTTCTTTTATTGAAAAATCTTGAAGTGATCTGTGCTCTGTTTTGTTTGCCCCTGGTTTCATATTGTTTTGGATTTATATGGTAAAATGACAAATTTTCCCTAAATTTTGTATTTTTAATAGAATTTTGATAAGGGCCTAGTGGGGGGGGGTGATAAGATGGTCATTTTGCCATGATCTAGCAACAATTTTTTTTTGATATGGTCATCATTTAGGGACCATGGAATTTACATTTTTCCCTTACGGTTTTTTATTAGAGCATATCCAATCCTGGTAAAATTATCATTTTGCCCACAATGACAAAGTTTTGTAATATATTTTTGGAAATGGATGCCAAAGCTGCAACAATAGATGCCAAACAACAACAAATTGATGCAAAATATGAAGCAATGGAGAAGATGTATGCAGCCTTGCAAAATATGATGGGAAATTGAAAATTAGAGGTAATATGATGTTAACCATTAGTATTTGATGTTTTTGAATGACTTGTTAACCTTTTGTATTTGATACTTTTGATTGTTTTGAATAATGTTTTATAGGAATGAGAACTGAAGATGATTGGATGGACATGAAATGAAGAGAACAACTAAAATGTTATTTTGAAGTTATGTTTTGTGAAAACTCATTTCCCGATGCATACTTTGGATTTCTTGGTGCTAAAATGTTATTTTGAAGTTAAACCTTTGGGAGTTTGATGTTATATGGATAGTTTTGGTTTTGGATGTCTTTTGAATGATATTTTGGTAAACTTTGATAGTTTTGGTATTGTAATGTTTGGTTGTATGGTTATTTGATATTTTTTAGTATAAAAATTTGATGATTGTAGTATTTTTTTTTCTTTTAGAATCATAATAAAAAAAATGATATTACAAGTTTGCGACGGATTCGTGAGGATAAAAAAAGTATTTTAATGCATCAATTTTGCGAGGGATTAGCTACGGAAAAAATATTATGTCTAAAGTTTGCGACGGATCAGCGACAGAACAAAAAAAAAAATTAATGTATAAATTTTGCAAGGGATTAGCTATGGAAAAAAACCATGTCTAAAATTTGCGACAGATCAGCGATGAAAAAAAAAATCAGTATATGAATTTTGCAAGGGATTTGCTACGGAAAAAAAACTGGTAACGGAAATTTGCAACAGAACAGTGACGGAATGACTTTATCAAATTTTGTCGCTAATGTCCTGAGTAAATGTATTGAGTGACATTTAGCGACGGATATTCTGTCGCTACATTTGTCGCAAGGAAAAACCTCTCCGTCGCTAAAACCCTCGCTGAGAAATTAGCCACCTATTAAATACCTATGGAGTGATTCCGTCGCTGATCCATCGCAAACAACATTTAGCGACGGATACTTCCGTCTCTAAAACCCTTGTTTCTAGTAGTTACAAGCAATTCAAGGAAAACATCCAACCTACAATTCGATCTGCAATCTTGTTCATATAATTTTGAAGTCGAGTTATATATTAGCAAGCTAGAAATTCAGTTTTGTTGGATAGATCCAAATGCTAACTATTAAGTCTCCGTAATTAAGGTGCTTTGATTTCGATTTTAATGGATTCGGTGACTATGATTGTTTCTTTCTGTCATTTAACTTTTTATTCAATCCATGCATCTTTTTTTCTTTATATGTGCTCTTCTAATATTTCTTTACCTCGGTTTATTATTAAAAAATATATATTAGATTAATTGATGTGCATTTATCACTTGACAGTTTACAACTTGTAAAACCTAGCATGAGAATTTTCAACAGAATCATATTGATGGATTATGCATGAATCACGCTTCGATAACGGGATCTTTTTTTGTTTACTTGTTAAATCGGCTTTTAAATGAAAATCAAGTATTCAACATGATAATCAGAGATGCATTTATCATCTCTTAAGGTCTTAAGAAACATGTTATCGTCTCGTTAAATTGAAACCTTTTCTAAGTGGGCATTCATGTTGGAGTCTTACATACTGTTTAGAGATGTATTGTCGAACCAGTCTTATATCTTACATAAATTTAGTATATCATATAGTAAGATTAATTAATATCTCATGTTCTAAATAATAACATATGTTTAGAAAGGGATTATTATATAATTTTTGGCCCAATTTTTTAATAGTGCTACAAGAAGATAAAATATCCGTGATGGGTTATTTGTAGAGTGTGACGAGAACATAATATTTACCAAGGAAAAACAAGAAGGAAAATAAAGTAGGAAAGAACATAATGGAAGTGTCCAAACTCTAAAGCATGAAAATAGCTACAATTAATTTGTAATCAATTTTAAAATTAGATTTTTAGAATTGTACCGAACCAAATAATCTTATACTTTTTATTTACATAAATATAAAAGGATTTTGATGTTCAAGTTCATTCTCCGTAATATACTATAAAAACAAGCATATAATAGCTTAAATTTTTATTTATTGTTGTTTTTAAAAAAAAAAAAAAAAAAAAATGTAAAAGCATCACTAAAAAAATTGTTTATAAATAATCTGCGACAAGGATGACTGAGCCTCACTTAAACCCCAATGTTAAATTATACAAATTTGATTTTGACGAGCCCTACCTATGTTACATCATCAAACTCATCTAACCCAAGTACACGACCCACTACATCATTAATTTACTTGCAATCCATACACTAAATCAGTTGACTTATAAGCAACCAAATCAACTGTGAATCAAAAATAATCACAAGAAGCTAGTACCAAGAGCCAGGTCATTTAAATTTGAAATGATCTGAGAACGTGTTGTCCCAATCTGGTTTGCAATCTCAAGCTGATGTTGAAAAGGCAGCATATCATAACTGCAGATACAAAAACGCATAATATATAACACAACTAGAAAAAGAAGAGTTAATAATTGAAGGAAATAGCAAAAACATGGTGAAGAAGAAACTTACTGGCAGAGGAGTTCAGCATCAACAATGGTATCAGGGCCAGGGCGATGAGCCTTTCCATTGGAATGAAAGTGGCGAAAAGATCTGGGATTCAAACCAGCAACATGAGGAACAGCGTCCACAAGTTTTTTCTGCAGAGACTGAAGCCTCCTAAAAGTCAGCTCATCAAGAGGCGCGATACACCCGATGCTCCCATCCAAGGTCCCAAACAGGAGTGCATAACGGTTGGTTTTATCTGATGGAGGGGAGTTGGAGGTCGGAAGCATCTGTAGGCGTAGAAATTTCGTGACGTGGGCCCCGACATGAAACTCTGCCCGAGAAAGAAGCTTCTGGCCTTTCCAGCTCTCGGAGACTTTTGGGGCGTAATAGAATATCTGTACGTTTTTTTGGTCATCCGAGACCATCAGACTTAGTGTGCTTCCGTCGATTAGAAACTCTGTTGCCAAGCAATCCAGGGATCCGAAATCTTTTGCTAGTAGACTCAGTTGAGATCCTTGTTCTTTCCAACTTAGGAAATATATGCTTTTGTGGATATCCCCCAGCAGAATGAAATTTTTTACCTAAAACCATCAACAAACAAATTAGACTAGCTTTTTTGCAACTTTGATTTTTCTCTAGGTAGCAACTCTGAGCTTTTTCTTTTTGGCCAAGGTTTCAAGTAAAATGACTCTATTACCCTTTGCTGATATTAACATTTTAATTGGAGTAAATTGCATTTTTTTCGATACTGATCCTAAAATGTTCTCTTGCAATTTTGGTCCTTATTTGAGATTTTTGGTGCTTGCTCCAACCAAAATAATTATATTTTTGGGACTAAAACTGAAAAAATCTCAACAACCAAAAATACTAGTTTTACTTGGAAAACAAATTTTTCAGAACCAAAAATGAAAAAATAAATAAATAGAACTTACTTTTAAATTATTATTATATTACAAGGGTGGGGGTGGGATTGGCGGGTCCAAAGTAATATAATAATAATAATTTAAAATGTTCAAATTAACAAACATTTATAAATAAACAAATAAATAACAGAAAAAGGTGATATAGCCATTTTACTCGGAACAGAGACCTGTTCACAGACAAATCGGGCAAAAAAAAATGAAAGATGTAGAAGATGACTTACGATGTTTAAGCTGACAACATACAGTGGTGGAGCATCAAAGAAAGCGACCCCACTCAACTCGGAACCTGTCCATTTGTGTAGAATAACTTTGGGGCCCGAAGCTACTAACAAATAGCCTTGAATTGAAGCTAGAGCTGATATGGCACCTTTCATTTCTTTGGAGTACACCTCTGTAACCTTAAAACCAGAAACAAATATAATAATGTCAAAAAAAAAATCAACACAAACCATTAAACAGTGACAGCTAAGCTAGTACCGCTGGCTGTGAAACTTCAGTGCTACTTTCAACGGAAAACAAAAGAACACGCCCTCTTGCAGCCACATCCTCTCCTTGCACATAAGCTGTCCCTATCGCCAAAAGTGTTACGTTTTCCCTGGTTGTTGTATTCTATGATCCACAAATTTAGAAAAATTAACAATAATAATAATAATACTTCATGACATGAGCAACTGTAAGAATAAAAATGGTTTGGGCTTACAGATAATGTAACGACTCGCACAGTTAGTGCATTTTCAGTACTTTGCATGCGGATTGTTCCTTTAGTTTGCCATGGCCCACCAGAACTTTCTGGTTCCAAAATCCTGACCTCGAATTCTTCTACAGTATAAGTACCATCAAGATTTGAAACATCATGCTCGATTTGGTGACCAGATTCTTGATCAACCATAGATGATAGGACTTGGTTTATAGGCTTTACCACCTGCAAAAATAACCAACAAATATTAATACAATAATACGGATATTAAGAATGTGTAAACATAGAAAACAATCCACTCACAGGAACAGAAACTATAAGCGGGTATAAGTTCTTCTCGGCAAAGTATGTTACTTGATGTGGAGTGGCCTTCAAAGGAATCTATCAAAATTCAAAAAACAAAGAAATATTTACTTGATAGTTATCCAATACGAGTATATGTCATATGTGAAAGTGATTATGTTACAGGCTGATAAAGACCTTTTGTACTGGCCAATAGTTGTCATATGATAGCAAGGATGGAAGTTGGCAAATCTTCAATGTACCCTATCAAGAAAAAAAAAATTCATGCATTTTTTAATATTTTATTTGTTAGAAGATGAAAGAAGAAAAGACGAAAAGTTTTGCTATCTGACCTGTGAGGTAACATAGATGAACCCATGGTTACAGTACATGTTATGAAGAACCGTGAAGGCAATAATTGATCCATCACATAGCTGTAAATTTAAAAAACATGGTCAGAAGAAATTTGAGAAAATTGAAAGGAAGGGCAATTTTGTGATTTTACAACATGCCTGGGGATGGATGCGAATCCGCTCTCTAAATTTCATAAACCATGCAGGTCTTGAACCAGAGAGGAAGAAACCAGGGTGACCACCAACATTTTTAAACATTGTTATTCTTGGAAACGGGGTTTCTGCTGACATCTCTTCTCTTGTGTACGTATCCAAAGAAACACGTGAAAATCTCAAATTCTTAAGTCTTGAAGAGTTTGATGAAGAGGTTTCAACAGAAGAAACCACTTCACTTCTAGAAGCATTTTCGGAACCTCCTTCATACAAGTAAGCATGATAACAAAGAATCGTCCCATCAGCCAAGATTCCAAACAGAAAAGGGCGGCTGTTGTCCCCTGGCCACCTGTGCATGGCCAATTCAACAACCTTCATGTTGATGTTGTGGCTATCATTGGAAGGTTCCTGGGATACGTTGTCTCCAAGAAAGATTCTTCCGGAAACAAAGCTGTCAACCGAAAAAACACAAGAGAAAATCGGGACATCGTATATTTCGAGTGAGCCGCTTTCATAACAGACTACACAGTATATATCGCCTTGATCCTGAGGTGTCCCATCGGGTCCTTCAATTGCCTCACTGACACCTGTCAAAAGCCAAGCATCTGTACTTGTCTTTCTTAGCCATGGCTCTGTTCCTCTATCGTGATACAGTGTACAGCAAGCTATCGCTTTCTTGGAGCTTTGAAATGCAGCCAAACTATTGATACTCATGGTGCATGTCGAGGGGTCTGTAAGCATCAACAACAGATTTTTCACATTTACTTGAAGAGCATGCAAAACCTACCACATTACAATTTTGGTCCTTGTGTTCAGCAAAAACTTTCGGTTTTGGTCCAAATCTGAATTTTTTGGTCTTTAGTTTCATGTTTCATAAGGAATTTGGTCCTAAATTTGTTAAATCTAACCACTCACCTGATCATTTTGACCAAACCTGAAGAAAACAGTATGCCACAGGAACCAGAATCGTAATTTTCAATTTATTTTATCAATTAACTAATTTTGAAATTATAGCATATTTTATTTTTGACCATCAAGCATAGTGTTTTACATTATTTTACCTTTAAAACGACCATTTCATTATTGGCCAACCAACATTTTTTGCTCATTTCTATTCTGATATTTGTAAATACTAATGTCTTGGATACGAATACAACTTGCAGAATTCGAACTTTTTAACACATTGATTATTTACGAAAACATATTTTAATGCACATGTATTTATATTCTAGACATTAGCATCTAGAAAATTCAAAAAAAAAAAAAAAATCGGCGAGCCAAGGAGAAAATGGTCATTTTAAATGATAAAGAATTTAAAAAGTTATACCTTTTATAACTTTAAAAGAAAACACGTTATAATTTTAGAAAAAAGTTTAATAAGAAAATTAAGAGAAATTAGTACTTTTTGGTTCATGGGCAAGATAGTGTTGTAAAGAGAGTAACAGCTTAACAATCCAAGGACCAAAATCGTTACGAAACATCAAAATAAGGACCAAAATTGCAAGGCGGGTCCTTTTGGGACCAAAACTGGAAAAAAAAATATCCACAGGACAAATTTGTAATTACTCTATAGAAAACATGGATATAGTATTATTAAAGAAAATGTACCTCCAACAAGAAGCTGAATACTTCCATCTGTCATCATCAATAATACATACGGATCAGCAATGGAGACGGATGCCACTGAGGAAGAATTGGGAGAAGTTGCAACAGCTTCAGAATTTGCAGGTCGGAAGTTTAGTTCTTGAGTCATGAAAGCACCATCAAGAATTCGAGCACCACGAGCGTACACTTGTATGACTCGCCTCCTAACAAAAAGTTACAAACTTTTATAAAAAGCAACCACTAAGTAACAGGCTATTAACATGACAATATGACATACGAATGATATAAATTCACCTTCCAAAAAGATTCCCAGCATAGATAGTACTTCCTTGAACAAAGTAATCCACGTTTTCAGTCACCTCTTCAAGATTATTAATTGTCTGCAATACCTGCAACACATAATAGCAACAAAACTAGTCAATAGTCACATGTTTTATACTTTTACATGTGAGCAATTTGACCATATTAATATTACCATTGTTCGACTTTCCAAACTGATGATTAAATATGCATGATACTCATCATCCTCGGATGCTGTTTTCAAATGTTCAGGTTGATTGCGTGAATTTTTGTGGTAGACAGTCCAAAGCCCCTTGCAACCTGGTATAGCTTCCTATAAAATGAACATATTGACTTTTTGAAATTAGTCATTAGTGAGGTATGAGGCATAGTAACAGTATGAGGCTCTTTGAGGAAATGAGGAGACCTGGGTGATAATTTCTGGACGGATAGATTGTTGAAGCACACAGAGAGAGCCGTTTTTTCCATGACCAGAACAGCACACCTGGAGATATGTTAAGAGCATCAGCATATATAAGAACTGGAGTGATGTAGAGTTTCAAGTATTTGATGTATTAATAGTACAAAAGAAGGAAAATACCAAAAGCAATTTTCATTAATGAACAGAAAGAGACAACTCACAAGTTCATAATTACTTTGTTTAGCAACCCCTGTAGCATTTGAATCAGCATTCATTCGTGAACCATAAGAGAAGTCTTTCAAAGGGCCAACATTAATCAATGAGTCCCTTACAGTAAACGAGAATGTTTTCTGCATAGTTTTAAAAAAAAAAAAAAAAAAAGGAAATGTTATTATATTGCTGTATATAAGGCTTAAAACGAAGAATACGTATATGCCTTGCCATTTACACACCCCTATTTCTTTTTCTTTTTTCCCTTTAAGTGGCTGTTTCTTTTTGCCCATTAACTCATGTGTGGGTAAAGTAGTTGAATGGGTGATGATGTCTATTTCACCCGTATATTCCAACAAATAAATTTCACAATATGCATCCAAGTTTAACAACATTCATCAAATTTAACCTATGAGGAGTTGGAAGGAAAAGGAGGGGCAAACATGTTAGAGTTGGTGTGTGGATACATTAAGCCGAGTTTTTTGGCTTAACCCATGAGGGTCTGTTTCTTTTTTTCCCCATAGATAACCCGCAATGATAAAGTGGCCGGATGGGTAATGAAGTCTATTTGGATAAAGTGCAGTATACATAAGGTTTGTTTGTTTCTTTTCTGAACTAAACAAACCATCTGAATGAAACAAAATGACCATTCTACCCTTAATAGTTAAAAAAAATCACAATATCCATCCATTTTAAGTTTTTAACAATTTAACATGAGGAGAGTTGGAAGGAAAAAAGAAGAAAGACAAATAGGTACATGCTAATTGTCATGATACATTAAGACAGGCTTTTTAGTATAACCCATTAAGTCATTTTGTCCACATTAAGTCAAAAAGGAACAGCCATGCCATGTATAGTTTGTTCAGATTAAGTGATTAAGTCATTAAGACCACTAAGTCAAAAAGAATCATCCCCTAAGTCATTATTATGTCCAACAGCACGTATACGGATAAATTTTGTTCAAAATATATTATTTAAATCGAAGACAAACTCAGGGAAATAAAAGGAAAGAATAAACTCAGGGAAAGAAATTTGTAAAAAGTTGTGAAATGAATAACCTGGGCAGACTGGGCATTGTTCAGATCTGACCCATACAAGGAAAGTTCATCATCATTTGCCAAATCTTGCAAAGCATCAGAGGAAGATCTTCTTAATCGTTTTGTTAATGGAACATCGCCTTCAATATCACCAACCTCTTCCTTTACAATAGAGGACCCTGCCCCACAATGGAACTGCACTAGCAAACTATCCCCTAAACGACTCCCTAAAAAGAAGAAAGAGCTTCCAACAGTAGTGATTCCCTGTAATACAATAAAACCTCATCACATATTGCAAAAATAGAGAAACATAAATGCTTATGTCACCATGACTGACCGAAGTTAACACTGAAGCTTTAGATTTGGAAAGGTCAAGTTTCTGCACCATACTGCAAAGATTTTTTTTAAAAAAAACTATTTGTCATATGTTCAACAAAAGGGAATAAAAAAATAATAACATTTACTCTTACCGGCCATCATGTACAAGTGTCAACAGAAGTAGTTCGCCAGATTTTGTTGACAGCATGGCAACATCATTTGATATCCAAGTTGCATTTGCAGCATCAAGCTCCACACTGAAACTTGATCTTGACATCTCCTGACTGCTATCCATGGGAACAGCATAATTATTCAAAGCCAATATGCATGATGCTGACTGGCTATGATAATGAATAGTATTTGCACAAACTACAAGAACTCCACCAATTGGAGAGGGCACAGCAAGAAGCTTATATGCATCATGTGGAAGATTCTGATACACACAACATAAAAAATTCAGTAGCAACACAAAAAAAAAAAAAAAAAACATAAACTGTAACTATAACACTATATAATTCAGTTGCAATTGTGGGGTCAGAACTTACAGTTGCAGACCATATGAGTGGATGCTGCTTCAAAGTGGTACTGATACTAAGTGCAGAAATCATACAGGTATGATGCTTATGTGGCAGGCGCCCAGCCCAAGTGAGTTCTTTCTCATGAAGGATGACCAAAACAGGTTCAATGTAACCTATAAACTGAATGTTATCAAACTCGTAACTGAAAAATGTATTTGAATCTGTGTTTGAAAGCAATATTTCCACAGATAACGCATATAAAGAGGTTCTCACCATGAACAAAGATAAAATCCTTGACATGTTTGACATCCAACTCCCGTAAGCTAATCATATATGATGATTGTATACGTGCAGAAACTGAGCCTCCACCACTAGAACCACCATCATCTCCCACCAAACCACCAGCCTAACATCCAAAATAACAAAAATGAAATCAATTTTGAGTGATCTGAGATGAAATCAACAGAGATAATGTATAAAGTAGCAGAATAGACCTCAGCAGCTTTGAGTATTATCATTTGTAGGCCATAAACAAGTACCCCTGCACACCTGCCTAGAGGATCAACTTTGATGAACGGCCCTCTGGCAAAAGATTCTCTGCCCTTTTTCAAATGAACCCACTGTGGACCCTCAAAGCAGTGCATTGAACTGGAAAAAAAAGAAAAAAAAAAAAAAAAAAAAAAAAAAAAGGGAGAGGAATATCAATCTTGTTATGATTAGAGGTCCTAATATACAGATCTGTCATAAAGCCAGCAATATGCTTATGCCTGACACAGTAAGACCAATGGAAGATCTATCTGATTCGATAATCATTGAAAAGAAGCTAATGCATCTAAGATCAAAAGTTCAAATGAAAAAAAAAAAATCATTTGAATCTTTGAGTGTTCACATGTATACATGAAGATCATACTATAAAAGTATATCGTCCAAGGAATGATAGGTGATGATGAAAATGTATGCAAACAAAACAAGTCGAGTTTTGATGAGATTCTGGATTAAAGTTGTGTAACTCACCTTGTACGAAGTCCATAAACTGAATCATCAAATTCTAGAATAGAGATTTTTGCATCTTCAAAAGTTAAGATGATAGAATCTCTTCTTCTACCACTTGTTCGCTCCTCTGCTCCAGAAGACAGCACACCCACTGATTCCACGTTGCCGTGCAACCTGTATTACAAGATATAATTTAGAACATTCGATCTCAAAATTCAAAATACGTCTCTCTTCTTAAATGTATGGGAGTATCACATAGAAGCAATGAAAATTAACAATGAAGCAGATGAACTAAGTTCACAACTAAAATGTATCTATCTATTTGCTGAATTGCAATGGTCGTTTTCACTACACCAGCCGAACTTAATGTTATCCTATAAGTTTGAAAATAAAGACAGTACCTGTAACTACAAACGAGTTCTAGTGAAGCACCAGAGAGACCAGCCATGACGCCGCCACGCTGTGGTTGAGATACGGTGCTAGAATCCTTATTAGTGCTATTACCATCTTCTTGAACCCTAACGGTGTATACTTCTAGAACATTGGCTGCGGTCACGATGAGGTTTGGGATAGGGCCAACACCTGGAGTCGGAGTGGAGGGCCAGACGGGATCGATATCATCAGTCGGAACCGGGAGAATGCGGGAAGCGAAGTCGGCGGGAGAATGCGTGATGAATCCCGAAGCGCAGTTGTCGATTCCGGTGGGCGGGTGCATCAATTTGTACGCTGCGTAGCTCATTTTGTCTGAGTATTAAACCCTCAACGATGATTTGTGTAATGTAGGATTGCTTTGGGAGGGCGAGAGAGAGGATCGAGCAATATGTGACTAGGGTTTTAAGAGCTTAAACCTCCCTGCGACGTTTGGGCAGGGAAGAACATATGTACTTCTAATTCACTTCAGCTTTTAAATTTGTTCGGATGTTCTTACTGTTTAGATATGCTAATTAGTGGTTTGTGAAATCGCGTAGGAATACTACAAAAATGCCACACGAGAATTTAGTAAATTGGACTTGAATTTATGTTTATCTTTTAGTAATATTTGATTTGGTCTTAAAGAGTATTCGATTCTCTTTTCATTTTATCGATGAATTAGGGTTCTTATCAATTTAATTAATCAAATTGTGAAATTTGTACGTGTTTTATGATTTGATGTTAGTAACATGCACTTGATCGGTTGATCGGTTGTAAATAGATCAAAAATTAGTGTAATCAAATATTAGATGTTCATATTTCCGAACTTATGAGGAATGTTTGATATTGTTGGTAATTGTTGTTAGAACATAATGTTATTTAATGATTTAATGCAATAGCTTATTTGAATTGAATCAATTAAATGAAGTTTTATTTGAAAAACTTATTTTGAATGAAACACCTTTGTTAGTTTGGATATTAAAACCACTGTTTTGAAAACCGGACCAAACCGGCCGATCGGACCGGTTCAACCGGGAACCGGTGTTATGGCTGGTTTTATAAAGCCCAAAAATCGTTTGTAGCTTAAACCGTAAAAAACCGGCGGTTTTAATGTAAACCGGGTTGAACCGGCCTGGTTCAACCGGTTAAAACTGGTGCTTTTAACTAAAATTTAACTTTGGCAAAAAATCAATTTGAATTTTCATAAAACATATGAAAGCTCATAATATATCCTCAACTTCGGTTTGAAACTTACGAAACCGTATTGGGATTGATTTGGTACACCGGCTCTGAAAACGCATTTATAGAACCATTTGCTATTCCAAATTTGAATAGGCTAGCGATGTGGGATTCATTGAAACACTATTGAGCCTTAACCCTTTAATTTTTTAATGCCAACAACCAAATACTTTCTTCCTAACTTTCGATGTGGGAATCAATTCTTTTTATTTACAACTTATATATATATATATATATATATATATATATATATATATATATATATATATATATATATATACACACACACACACACACACAACGGTTCGTCCGGTTTTTGGGACCGGTTCAACCGGTTAGACCAGTTGAACCATCGAACCGCTATGACGACCGGTTCGATGTCCGGTCCGGTTTTCAAAACATTGATTAAAACTTATTAATATACAAATTATCAACCTGGATTAAACATGAATTATAGTCATATTACACCTTACAACACAACACATATATAGGAATTAGAATCGGAAATATATTTCTCTTATTGAATTTTAGTATTAATCTTGTTTCTTTATGAAGTTTAATTTGAATTCAAACACACCCCCTCGTTTTAACATTGATTGCATGATGTGTGAGAATATTGATAAATAAGAAGTCGTGTATGCATGTGAATCAACCTGTTTACTCTATATTATCTTCAGTGTAAGCAGTAGCAGTGATTTGCATTTAACTGTTATTATTTTATCCCATTATTTGTTGGTTTGACCACCAAACACTTATGTTTAAGTTTAGTATCGTTATTATGAACTTATAAACAATATATGCATTATAAAATACCTTATACAAAACTTTATTATAATATCTTTTAACTACCCGCGGTACGGGGAATCTGGTTTGAATGGTCGCATAGGGTTGTTGGATTTCAGAAGTGTTATAATGCCAAAATGGTCATGTCCTCTGGTGTTTCATGTCTGGCCCCTGTCTGTACATAGTGGTTGAAAAGTATTGGTTAACACTTATAAAACAATATCGTTCGTAAATAGCCGCGATAAATATTAGACCAGAATCTAGTTGTAATAATATTAAGTTTCGTCGAAGGAAATTATATTGTTAGAAGCGAAGCGTTGTCCAAGTTGGAATCACCACTTTGACAAGTGAGTGCATAGTTATTTTCATCTTACACATAGATATGAAGTATTTAATATAAATTACGTGATATGTGTGTATATTATATGTGTTCTTGATATCTATGTTTGATGAACGATTTATACATGTTTTAAAATGATTTAAATTGTATATGTAATTTATATCCACGAAAATGTTGGGTAAAACATGGGTAAATGAAATAGTTTATGTGTGATTGTAACATCCTAAGTTTGTCGATTATAGCCCTTAGGGATGGAAGGGTAAATACATGAAAAGCCTAAGGGCTAAACTGTAATTTTGGGACCATGAGGAGTACGTTGCGCGTATATAAGGGTACGCTGAGCGTACTAGGGCACGCTGAGCGTACTAGGGCACGCCTTAGTACATTGGGCGTAATCATAAAAGATGAAAACCCTAATATCTCGGGTTGGGAGCTATCTAAACATCCTTACGGCTCATTTTGTCTCCTCCTTCTCAGCCTCCATCTTCCAAAAACGTTCCCAAACCCTAGTTCTTGTGTGAGAGAGTGAATTGGTGGGTATTTTGAGCTCTTAAAAGGGAAGCCATTGCAACAAATAGTTGAAGAAAGAGATTAGCTTGTAGATCTGAAGTTGTATTGTGCCCTAAAAGCTCCAGGAAGAAAAAAGTTTCAAACTTTATGCTTGTAGGTCATAGATCTAGCCTTTTTATCATTATGGAACCATTTATTGTCCCAAAAAACCCCCTAATATGGTGCATGGTGCATTTTGGACGAGATAAATTGTCCTTTCTGGACCTTGATGAGGTCTTAAGTGATAAAAATGAGGTTGTAATTGCTTAAGATGTCCCATGCATGTAGTAGAAGGGTCTTAATGGATTAAGAGCTTTTTGGACGTCCAAAATGATAAAGTTTGAGAGTTTGCGAGTCTTATGCACATTTGGTCACTGGATTTGGAATTTGGGCTTAAGTGCTTAAGTCATTAAGCACTTATTAGGATTTTGGTTAAACCCTGCATACACCCAACGTAAGGTTTTGTATGCCCAGCGTACTAAGCCAATGGCCCGTTTTCCGGTCAATGTAAAACCTATGTACCCCCCGCATAGCCTTGGGGTACGCACAGCGTACGCCTTCAGGGGACTTTTGGTGATTTTGGGCTTTGGGTTGGGCTACTTTCTAGGCTAGTAGGGTTGGGCCTTACTAGACTTTATGAGTAGACATGATTTGGGTCAGTTAGTGGTAGTGGATCATGGGATTAGGCCCAATAAGGAGGTTGGGCCCAATTTAGTAAACTGGTCCAATAGTGTATTTATGTATATGGATATTCAAGTTAAGAACTTGGTTTGGGGCTTTGGCCCAACAAAAGAGAATGGACTTGATAAGTTATAAGGACACTTAACCAAGGGAGTAATATTGGGTATTAACCTAGTATTTATTAAAGATTTCTAGTCAGGACTTGATCGAGGGATCAATTTTATCCGAAACATAAAGTAAAAAGACAAGAACCCTATGTGGACTATGAACCAACAAAAAAAAGAGCGTCAGCTCCAAAAAAGGATTGTTTGCATTACTCAAATGTACAAATTTTTTACTCTGAGATATATTCCAACATTTCCAGAAGAAACCATTAAGCTTTGGTTGAAAGATGCAACATACATTAAATATTATCTCTTCAGGTTCGTTAATATGTGGATTCTTAGGATCATGCTAGTGAGTTGTGCTCGCTGGGAAAGGACATTTTTCTTTATCGATATTATCTCATGTCTTTAGGGGGACAACAAAGTTGCATATTGTTTGGCTGCTTATAGTCATACTCCATTTTATTTAATAGCTTAGGGTCTCTTCCTTTTTATTCTAAAAAGCATGTTCATAGCCAAGGCATGTTCGTTTTTAGAGCTCCCTAGTTTGTTTTGATGTTAGGGGCAAGGCCTTTATGTCCCGCCTTGTCTTTTTTTTTTTTGCAATAAATAGCGAAAGCGAGATGATAGTTCTATGTCGGGTGAGAGAAGAGATAGAGGAAGGTATTCTCACGGCCCGAAGTGCAAAGCCCGATAACCTATCCGTAGTTCGGAAGGAATCTGTGACAGTTCGGGATTCCCGGTAGGACGATAGCCAGATATTTGCAGTATTTCAACACTACTTGTGAGGTGAGTTATCCTCACTGTGCTCAAGGGTGTAAGGCACCAAGGTCGGCCCTTTAATTTGCTAATTATGATTGTTAGTATTGTGATATGTTATTATTTGTTGGATTAGTGTCTAAGTCCATAACTATTTTGGTATGTACTTGACCCGATGGTGCATGGTATTTTTGGGTTGCCTTCACCAAAGCAACTTGATTGGAGAAATGAATAAATAGAGAGAGGATAATATGATTTATTAATATGTTATAAGAATAATATATTAAATGAGAAATCATATTTGTTTAATTAATATTGGTTAATAATTAATTAAAAATTAGTTTTGTGATCAAATGTAATTAATTAAACTAGAGGGGCTGATTTGTAATTATGTGATAGTTACAAAATAAGGTAAGGATTATCTTATTTATATGGTGGACGAATTTAAGGTTGGAAAGCCTTAGAATTAGAGTATGATAAAGATTCAAGGATTATCTTATTGGTTGCTTAATGGATAATCAACTAGATAAGGATAATGACTGAAACCCTATCTCTACACCTATATAAACACCCCTAGGGTCATGAATTCGTGTATCCCTTCCCAAGAGGTCCTAGATACGAATTCTAACCTCTCACCTCTCTCTTTATACCTTCTCCACTTGCTTATGGTGTTTGTAAGCCATTAGAGGAGTGACACTTATGACTCTAAGCCTTCCAAAGTCAATCCAAGGTGGAGTTGTGATTGTTATTGCTATATAACAATCAAGGTATGTTCTTAAACCTAATTATATGTTAATGTCGATTTCCATATGTTAGAATTAGGGTTTATAGTCTTGGATTCAAAGCATGTACAATAGAGAAACCTAGATCCAAGCATTAGGGTTTGTATGAGCACATAGGATGTCTTATGACCAAAACCCATCAGTGGTATCAGAGCTAGCTTGGTTTCAATTGTATTGATGCATTGTATAACTGGAAAATCGTTTTTTGGGCTTTATGGCTGAGGAACTCGGCGAGTAGACCTCAACTCGACGAGTACAGTGTGGTACTCGGCGAGTTCGAGCGTCAGATAATGCTTATCTCGGGATTTCTTGCTG